TAGGATACTTTAAAAACCTGTCTGAAGGTATCTGGCAGAAAGTTCTTCTGGATTGTATACGGAAGGGATTTGGTTCTGTCTTCTCTAGTACTGAAATAATGATTAAAAAAATTGAGAAATAATTTGAGGTTCCATGTTATGATAATTTTATGCATGTAGTTCAAAATTAAGTATGTCAGACCATGAGTCATTTTTTTACATAAATCAGAAGGAAATTAGATAATCTTGCAACATGAAAACGAATATCCCAAAATATAACACATACGAATGTTATACAAGTTTAATAATCTGTCTTCAATTGTCACTATTCAAACAAGAAAGTATTAATATTTATACTATTAACTAACATAGCTTGCATTCCCACGATTTAAATGAAATCATCAGATAACATAACTTCATCTAATATCATGCAAGCTGCTTAAAATGTTGGCAGATTCGCCATATTTGTTTTCAGTTGGTACGCTTCTTTCGACATGGCCCGCGTCTCATGATCGGCGTACGCCGGTGTGTAAACGGTGTATGCCGAATAAGATCCAATGAAGTTGATCTATTGGCATTAAACCTGAAATAATTTGTTAGTAAGTCGCAAAATATTAACAAAGTAGTATTTTGACTTCCATATATTATACTCGTCCAGCTGCGAGACAACTTGGTAAAATATAACACGAGTAGGTGCCGTCGTTTTTCAATCTATCTGGATCTGAAATAATGCATATTATGCATTTTATCAGGACAAGAATTTACTTACAGTGTATTTCGTTAAAATAAGTTTTGCATATTTCCTAAAATTAAAATTATGTTAATCAATGATAATTTCGAAAATCGATGACACAAACATTTGATGCAGTAAAATGGTAAAAAACTGTGTTACTTCACAATGTTTTTATTATCAAGTGTACAACAGTATAAAAAGTTATACACAAATTCGTATAATAGAAACAGGTGTATACTATTTAATGTGTCGCCATCTAACTTTGTTAATTACTTTCATGGATATTATTCTGTATTAACTTAGAGAACGAACTCAAAGCGATTGATAAAATCAAAGAGCATTTATCATTGTCGAGCTTTATTATTATCTTAACCACATTTATTAACACAAAGAGACGAAAATTCTGTTTTTGCCCTACATAAACCTTATTGCTCACAAATAAATAAAATACTTACATATGCCATTATCATGCAAATATAGTGTACAGGGCTGATTTGTGTTTTCTGGTTGATTTTCCTGTTGTGACAGAGCTGCTACTTAACTGGCCTCGTGTTCTCTAGTGTCGATCGCGACATTCTAAAGATGGTGCGCAATAGCATCTAATGCCACTCCTGCACAAGATGACCGAAACTAAAAGCAGGTTTAATGCGCATATTTTTATGTAACAAGATACTAGTAACAAAAAGCAAAAGGGTAAACCGAATAGAGAAGCAGAATATGAATTATAGTGTGAAAATGACAGATTTAATGTTTTGTTGTGTCTGTTTTTTCATCTTCCATTTTACATATCGACAAACATTAGTGTTACATTGCCCATGTGAACTCCGTGAGGGAAATTTCCCTTTATTTGAATACTAAAGTAAATTGTGCAATATGACGGTACAAAAAGACTTTAGTAGTTTATGAAGTATGGCTAAACTTATTTCAACACAATCTTTTATGTCACATTTAAATGAATATTAAAAAAATTCCAGGCATACATGTGCCTTAGTTTAGGTAACAATGGACAATTAACCAATCAAAGCAATAAGTAACATATTACCGGCTTTGGTTAAGGCTCCCCCGACATCACCAACTACTTTGGATTCATTTGCACGATTTTAGAACTCATTCGAGATCGCCTTACCAGATACTAAATATAAGTTATATATATGTTTTTTGGAATCGTTAAAGACATGTTAAGTGGCAGAAATGTGTTTTCTTTGATCTCTTTCAAGTGACCGGGGAAACTGCTTAGACTCTTTTTAGATCTGATAGAAACTATTCGTATTTCATCATACAAGCCTCTTAAACTTCTTGCAAGAAACATAGTTCTTTTTGTGCTTATGTGGTTTCGAACATACCAGAGGTGTATGATGCTTTCGCCATTGTATCAGTGCCAAGTGCGACAATGCTATGTCATCCCGATTTTCTGTCTACGTCTAAAATATTTGTCGTTTTGCCACAGGTTCATTAGTGGTTAGCCATGAGAGGCACCTGGGTCAGAATTTCAATAGCCGTGATAGCAATTGATGGAACTTCTTATGGTATCAGTAGCTCTGTCATAATGCATGAATGAAACCCAAGAACAGTTTTATTCGGGACATCGAATATAAGATATATACGAAGTGGGTTTCCTGGTCACTATATTGATGACCAGCAGTATTACTGTTACCTCAGATCGGCAAAAAATAACTATTTTCACAAGAGTGCGTTGAACTCGTCGATGAAATTTATCCGACTTATGCCCATATTATGACACCATACACGTCAGCTCAAATGCGCCGTAAATAGGGGCCTAAACGGCGGATAAAATGCCTTAGACTTAACATAATAGTAAAATACTGTGTATGTCTTGAACACGCTATAGCAAAGACTATACGTTACAGGCAAATTTCTAGTGTATGAATAAATAAACAACTGTATAATATTATTTGTACTTATCTTACTTGCAATAAAAAGTTTATAGCACTTACTGTATTTATTTGAATGATAAATATTTTGAGATAACCCCCGAATATTATAACCGTTGTTCGTCTCCGGCTATCGTTATCCGTACAAGCTGTAAATCTCTAATAATAAGCCTAACGTTTTGACGTAGCGCATATACCTTCATTAACATGTTAAAAAAGAATTACAAACTGTAGTGTTACCGTGTGTTTTTAATCATAATTTCTGAACAGTATTTAATTAGATTTACAACAATATTGTTAAAAGAGTTTACTTAATAAAAATGTAGACTGCTTGGTTTTAAGACCGACCTCAAAAATATTTCTATATATATTTATAAAATGCAGCTTTAAATCAATACAGAGTTCACATAGGAAAAGACATATGATACAGTTTATCAGCTTTTCCTCGTTCCGGGTTCGTTTGTCTAAATTAAAATAATCCACCAGAGAGAGAGGTTAGGTCAAACAAACGTATTGTACAAGCAAACTAGTAATGCACATTTCATACCATATGTTATGGTCTGCCATATTGCTTCGATTTATGTTTAACAGCTTACAATTTCATTTTTCTTGTATAATGAAAATTCATTCGGAATTCAAACGAAATATGAAGATTGTAGGGTAAAAGAACTAATAATTTCAATGTCCTTATTATACGTACTTTTACCAGTTTAAGTCACATGGTTTATATGTTTGTTTAGCGTGTAAAATCGAAATATCCCTTACAAACATAACATCTGGTGTAATATTTTAAAAGCTGTTTGCTTTGTTTCAATGTAATGTGATATTTTTACGAGTTTTTTTTTTGTTTTGTATCAATATAATGTAATATTTTTTACGAGTGTTTGTTTTGTATCAATATAATGAGGTATTGAAAATAATTCCATACAATTCGTTTTTATAGTGTTTTACTTTATACGGTGGCACAAAGGGGACATGTGTGTGTTTTTTTATTTATCTCGTGGCCACGAGATACTATGTCGTGGCCACGAGTTACTAAGTCGTGGCCACGAGATAGCTAAGTCGTGGCCACGAGATACTATGTCGTGGCCACGAGTTACTAACTCGTTGCCATGAGATACTATGTCGTGGCCACGAGTTACTAAGTGGTGGCCACGAGATAGCTAAGTCTTGGTCACGAGATACTATGTCGTGGCCACGAGATACTAAGTCGTGGCCACGAGAAAGCTAAGTCGTGGCCACGAGATACTATGTCGTGGCCACGAGTTACTAAGTCGTGGCTACGAGATAGCTAAGTCGTGGCCACGAGCTAAATAACCAATCAGATTACACCACTTATGTGAATTTCCCTTATTAATTAGACATGTGCTTTAGTACAAGGATGTCCCTTCTTCACCAGCCTGTAAAAGTGTCATTTATACAACTTATTGACTTGTCAATAATTTTACATTGAGCTTCACCGTGACCCTGATTTTTGACCAATTGACCTCGAAATTATTAGATGCCATCTACTGATCAGGTGCAATGATCTTTCTGGGTTACATTAACCATGGCTTATCCTTTCTAAATTATTCATCAGACAAGGATTTTACCTTATAGGATATTTACTGTCCATGGGCAATGTGCCTTACAAATAAAATAAACCAGGCCTAAGTAACTCGTGGCCACAACATAGTATCTCGTGGCCACGAGATAAATAAAAACACACACATGTCACATTTGTGCCACCGTTACTTTAAGAGTGTTCGTACATTCCTTTTGTATATACATATTCCTTGTTTTAATGGCTATTGATCATTTATATTAAGACAATCAGTAGTGTCAGTGGTGGAGAGGTTCATTTTATATACCCGTTAAGACCGCCGGCACCATGACCGATGAAATATATTTAGAACGGACTTGCCGCAATGCACCTGCATGCAAACCGTTAGATCTTTACTCATTTCGCACTGTCTCGTTTTGTAACGTTAACCCGTTAACTTCTGACTGCTAAGTATTATGTAAACCATCTTTAATGTGGCTGCAATGGCAATTTATGCTTTAGCCCACGTATAAAACCATGTTGATGAATTTCAAAATCAATATATTATATATATATATATATATATATATATATATATATATATATATATATATATATATATATATATATATATATATATAAGATAATTGTCTTAACATAACCGTTTAAAATATTTGGCAAATGCTCTTATCAGCCATTTTGTAAAAAATGAAAACGAAATCAACTTATTTACACGCTATTACAGTCACAAACAATGCTAGATAAAAGCGGCCAATGCCTGCGAACTTCCTTGTGTATTGTTTCCAATTTTAGTATGTATATCTATTTCATATATTATAGAAAAAGATATCAGTTGTTGTATTGCTTTATCAGACATTTTATTGTCTAACAACTGTCTGGTTTCTTTAAAAAAATTAGTGGTTCAAGCATTTGATAATTTATCACTTTTTGGGGGCATATTGTATATAAACAACGTTTTTTTGGTTTTTGGTGAAAAAAATATTTATTCATAAATAGAATAAATTAAATTGAATAAAAATTAATAACAAAAATTACTTTTATCCGGAGTAATGGTGTTCACCAAACTTTATTTTTCTACGGTCTTGTTAGTTTTGGCGACAGCAGGTGCGATAACTCTTAACAATGGACGATATGAAGATGTTTATATTGTTATACAGGACAGTATTGAGGAAAATCTAGAACTTCTTGACAGGATTAAGGTATGATAAAAAAAGTTATTGATTTATATGTGTATATGTTATTTTTCGTAACAATTATCAGCATTGCGAGGTTTATGTATGTACGTCCGTCAACTACATTTTAGATTGTAAACAATCCAATATACTATATACAGTTAACTGTAATTTTTAGTGTTATGAGATTTAAATCGTATGGAACATTTTTAAATTTGTACTACATTGTTCATGCGATAACTACAACTATAGTTTAAAATAGCTCAACAGTTCAAAATTTACACTCACTAACAAATACTACCCGTAAAGGTTGGATACCCACTGCTGAACAATCAACAATACAATCATGTTATGTAACATGATAACTAACCGTGGGTATCCGCCAATGGCATTTATTATGTTACGAATGTAGTTGCAAAACTATACACTAGTTTGCAATATTTATTTTTCAATTGTGAATAACTTTGTGTTATTGGTTATTTTGTAATCATTTTAAAAGGATGTTTTCACGGATGCCTCGAAACTTTTGTTCACTGCAACCAAAAACCAAGTCTACTTTGGCAAGATCATAGTAGTTATACCAAAGTCATGGAGTCCACAGACGCACTACAAACAGCTACCAGCTTTGTCGTCTTTGGAAACATACATCAATATTGACACAGGGAGAATAAGCTCACCCCACGTTAGATCAAAGACTTATCAATGCGGGGAAGAAGGTTTAGCCATGTATATTCAACCCTCATTCCTACTTCAGGCTGGTCGAACGAGATGGGGGAAACATGGTTAGTACGTTTAACTGTAATCAAATAGAATTGTTTATGGGTTCCTGAGTAAATAGCAACTTTAAATCAATTTAAACCACTTGCCAATAAATCACATGATAATATTAAGAAAGATCGAGCGTTGTTTTTGAACTATAAACTGAAGACATTTGAATATAAGATGATCTTTACTCAGCAATTAAATGTTTCCGAAATGAAGTATTAACATAAAGCGGCCTGCAAGCATACCAGTAAAAGTGGAGTTCGAAGCTGAAAATCTTGCTTATTTACTATGACATTTGGAAACTTTCTTTAATAGTGCACATGCATATAACACGATAGAAGACAAAAAGGAAATAAAACGGCAAATATTAATGTATGGAGCGTGCTTGTGAATAACTAATGAACATAGTATTAAGACCATACTTATTTTGAAAGCAAGACAACGCAGATGCTATAATAAAAGATGAAAATAAAATTGTAAATATCATTTTCTTTTAGTTATTTGTCTATTTTTTTCAGCTAATGTCATAGTTCACGAATGGGGTCATCTACGTTGGGGGTTATTCGATGAATATCCAGATAGTTTTGGCAGACTGCCAAAGTTTTATCAGCATGCAGGGAAATGGAAGCCAGTGAGGTAATGTCTATTTTTCATCTTTTTAACACACCAAGCGGTACATTTTGTTGTGCAAACTCAACCAAGTAGTTTTGAAAATTATACTACACGTAGAAAATGGCTTAAGGAAGGCAGCATCGATTTTTACTCACTTTCTTATGGCAACGTTTACAGTGCCCAAATTCCAATTGCATAGATTCAACAACTACCCACATATACGCGTTATAATACATGTATAAGTCGATGAGAATAAACAAACAAAACAACTTTTAATTAATTAATTTCTTAAATGCTGTTTCAAAGAGATACTAACAATATACGAATTTGTGCTCTTTTTATAATCCCTATCGAGATAAATACTGCCCATAGTAGTTAGCCTAATTTCCATGATCAGACAGTAGCGCAGCAAAGAAAAAGAAGCTTTATGCCGGAAGACACCTCATGATAAATAATAAATTATGTGACAACTTAAAACAAGAAAAGCATTGATGCAAAGCATCAAAGGCGACGCCAAAAAATTTGATAAAGTTTTGCACCTAAATACTTAACAAAAGATGTGTACTTTATAGCAGTACCATTACTTGTGACCTGGAGGCTAGGCCCAGTTTAACTCAAACCAAAAAGAATAGACTCTGTCTTGCCAAGATGCAAAAACAATTTAAAGTCAATTAACCAATCTTATAAGACTTATGCCATAAGAGAGAATTTCTTCAGATTTATTTTACCAGATACAAGGATACCTGAGTCATCAGCATATAATAAAAGCTTATTGCTTAGGGTTGCAGACATGTCATTGACATATATAAGACATAAAAGAGGACCTAAAATGAACCTCAGGGGGACACCTTAGGTATACTCGGAGCAGTAGTAGAATGAGTACCAGCCACACTCACCAACTGCTGTCTATCAGAGATAAGACTTGAACCATGTAAGAATGTCATTACCTATGGCAGATTCTTAAAGTTTCATGGAGAAGAAAAAGAAGAAGAACTTCTTCATGTGCAATATATAAATCCGTGGTGTTATCAACTGTATCAAATGCCTTTTGTAGATCTATAAGTATCATGCAATACTGCCTTTGTCCATTTCAAATTTAATACAATCTGTTAAATGAATCAAACCTGTGTCAGTTGGAAAAATCACTTCTAAACCCTGACTGAAACTGCCTGACCATGACTCTAACCCATGACTGTCAGAAGCCCAACTTAGCTATCCGGCCGGCTACACATTTTCTCTTTAATAATGAAACAGTTCTAAACACAACATATTTCCCCACTATATTGATTTTTTGTGTCCTTGAATTTCCTGATGTTTACAGAGCAAAGTGAATTAAACTCAGGGTTATATGAGAAAACTTTCAGTTTGACCAGAACTCGAACCTATGACCCACAGAATAATGTACCGCGGCTGTAGCGATTGAGCAATCTGGCCCTTACACATTTTCTCTCCTAAACATTGAACAGTTCTAAACTGTGACAGATACTTTTAGATTTTTAAATTAACAGGTAGATTAATTCTTCTTTAAACTAACAGGTGGATTAATTCTTAATTAAACAAATAAGAAAAAAAAATTTACATACTCATAGTCTTAATCAAAATCACAATTTATATATTGTATAATTATTTTTACTAAAAAGGGCTTAGACAGTTATTGGTTGTGCCATTATTTATAACAGTTCAATGTGAAAGTGAACATAACTGTACTTATACACATACAATACCTATTTTTTGTACAGATAAAAAACTAACCTTTTTTCTATGATAAGAAATTTTATGAAGGCTGATTTGTATTTTGCATCAGGGGCACCAGGCGAAAACATGAAAATGCAACAAACGAACCACTTTATGGTAGATTGTTTTTTCATGTTTTAATCTGGTGCCCGGTTACTTTTTGTACTTTGTTGGTTTGCATGTGACACAAATCACCCACCAAAAAATTAAGTGCATAAGTTTATTCAAGGGCGAGTAACAATCTAGTCTATGAAAAGTCTGTTGTCGGGTTGACTCTGGACACCTTGAAGTTGAGACAGGTGTCCCTTCATTACAATAAGCTGTCCTTTTCAAACTTTAGTATGCACATGTTAGAAAAGAAATTAGAATAACTTTTCAGAATATGAATTTTTGAGACTTTATTAATTATATTGCTTGATCAAAGTTTAAGGACATTTCCAATCAATACATGTATTATCATTTATAACTTTAAATGAAAGTCTCATCCCTTTAATAATAATGTCATAACTGTAACTCTTTAAATACAGAAATATTATAAGTCTCATCATATCAATTTACTTAGATATACATGTATGCACATAACATTAATAATTCCCAGTTTCTATTAAATAAATATGAAATCCTAACATTAACATTAACATTGGTCTCATCCATCATAACTGTAAGTCTTTAAATACAGAAATACACATTATATCCATATACTAAGATATACATGTATGCACATTACATTAATAATTCCCAGTTTCCATTAAAAATAAATATAACAACCTATTAACATTGGAACTTGGATGGAATTCATAATCTTGTAGAAAGAAAACTATTATGTATAGTATGAAAGTAAAAAAAAATCTCAAATAGTCTATATCATATAATAAAGATTGAGTTGTGTGAGTGTCCAAACATTAAATGCATATCTCTTACAGTAACAAATAACCTTCCATTAGACTTTACTATATAACTTAATGCATATAGGGCCTATATCAAGTGTTTAAATTGATAACTTCAGGATGTTATCCTTTCTCTGTTCTAATATATGGACATGAGCACCTATATGCATAGCTTCAATTTTCTAAATTTCTACTTTCACTTTTACCAAATGTTATTTTATTAACAATTTAATTTATATACAAACACATAGAAAATAATAATTAGTTTCACATAGTGATTAGAAGATTCCTGTAGCAGAATACCTGTAGGCATGTATACTAACTGAACAAACTAGAAAAAATCCAGTCTAAGGTATATAAAGCCAGTAAAAAATATATCAATATTCACTCCCCAGGGCCTCTATGCTTTTGATGACCTTACAACTGGTAAATTTTATACAACAAAAATAGTAAGTAATACCCAAGACAGAAAAGAACAAATAATTTAGTAAAAATGAGTTACTTCCCCTTAAAATATAGAAAACATGAAACCAAAAGAAAACCCTAAAAAGCAAAATTATGAAATGTTGCAAGCTCAGTTTTATTAAGCCATGCAAAGTAATGGTAAAGTATTCATAAAAAATTAGATGGTCATGTGACAGCAGTAATTGCAGAAAATCGGATAGCTTTAAACATCCGGATACTGGTACACCTTGTAAAAACAATCATTCTGTGCACCAGATAAACGTAATATGGATAAAATCAATAGAATAATCGTTTACAACAGTTCCATTACCTATCCTTATACTCATTTGCAGGTGAACGTTCTTCTTGTAGGAAAATTTTGAAAATATATAAATGAATGAAAAAGAATATGGCATCAATGTAGACCACAACGATATTCGAAATCCGGGTTTTAGTATTGCCAATAAAGCTAAGGGACAAGCTGTTAAACTGAGCCTGCAATTTCGTAAATATTATATCACAATGCACAGATGTCATGCTTTTTACATAAAGTTATTAAATACAAATAAAACAACATATTTTTTACTTGATTTTTACGAATCAAAATAAAACTAATTAACACAACATGACATTAACTGCTAATAATAACAGCTCCTTCCATAGGCCAAAATAAAAAGCATTCCATAAGAGACGACGCCGCTCACCGGCGTCGCCAATAACAACGAATCAGTTCAATGCTAGCATTCAATGGGTACTTTTAAGTACTTTTATTTCATTTTGCATGTGTTTTAGATGATATGGAATTCAAACGAGCTTATCTTTAACTAAGTTTGGCCTAAGTGTAAAAGAATCTGAAGTCATATCTGTTATCTTTTTACTAAATAAATTTATATTTTGTACTTAAATAAAAAACAAACATGACAGTTTGCAAATGGAATGTTGAAAGACAGAACAGAGTAGCAAAGAATGACTGCACGAGTCATTGAACAAATTTTACATTCGCTTTTAGCTCATATAAATTACATGTTATTTTAAAAGCATTTGACCTTATCATTTTGAATTCAAATACCTCTGCTAAAACAATACATTTAAATTGTCAGATATATGGCATGATTTCAATTGATTTGAATTTAAAGAGACAAATATAAAACATTAAAGTGACTAGATTTAAACATGAAAATTGCAGACTCGATTTGATTTAGTCTGTACATGAGGGATAATGAAAAACGTGCAACGTTAACCCCACTACCACCGACTTGAGCGGTACTCAATTTTTAACTCTTTACAGTGCAGGAATCAATGATCCCAAAGAACCAGGAAAATAAAACAACACTTAAGTGAAGAATGGGGCAACTTTTCATAGCTGCCAATTCGCACTTTGCACATGCTGTTGTGAAGAATAAAATCGAGCTAACACATTATCATAGTTATATTTAATCTATTGAAATTAAATTTACAGATAATAAGGACATGTACTCGTATTTAGTTATTATTCAAAGATATATTATGCTCAAATTTGATATTTGAAAAAAATGATTGTTATTATACCACGGTGCATATCCATATCGGTACCCTCTTTTCGAAATCTGCTGAAATGGTACCCTCTCTAAACATGGACAGGTCATTCTCTGCTAAAACAAACCAGCGATGGATACCAATCCAGTAAAATTTCATTGTAATAAGGAAAGGAGGTATGTCACGTAGTAAAGATGTATACCACGGAACACTAGGATGTTTTATTTATGTGCTGATTTGTCATGTCCCCGATTTTCATGTACTGCAACTTAACAATAAGCTACAAAAAATCGACATGTCTTGCTTCGCCCATCACCTCGACATATTTTTCGGGCTGAAATGAACCTATGGCTTGATTATATATGCATCATACATATTTAATATGTTCATATACATATCATCTTCGGACAAATGGCAGTATATTGTCAAAAATAAATGTAAAATTCATAAAAACACCCTACTTTCGGTTTTGCAGCGGCACGGGCTACCTCTCTTCATTTGAATTTTTATATCACAGGTACCCTCTCATTTTTTAACACATGGGTACCCTCAAAGCACGACATATGCTTTTATTTGCGTTAATCGTTAAGTATGTAATAGACCTATTTACATAAAAGTAAAAAGTATTACATACACATGATATGTATATGAACATATTAAATATGTATGATGCATATATAATCAAGCCATAGGTTCATTTCAGCCCGAAAAATATGTCGAGGTGATGGGCGAAGCAAGACATGTCGATTTTTTGTAGCTTATTGTGAAGTTGCAGTACATAAAAATCGGGCACATGACAAATCAGCACATAAATAAAACATCCTAGTGTTCCGTGGTATACATCTTTTCTACGTGACATACCTCCTTTCCTTATTATAATGAAATTTTACTGGATTGGTATCCGTCGCTGGTTTGTTTTAAGCAGAGAATGACCTGTGCATGTTCAGAGAGGGTACCGTTTCAGCAGATTTCGCAAAGAGGGTACCGATATGGATATGCACCGTGTATACAGTATCTTTTGAAATGTAAAATAACCATCTTTTGAATACACAAAGAGAAGATATGATACGTTTTAAACTCTACACACTAATCGTCACATACTGTTATCAAAAAGCTTGCAGTTTTTTTAAGAATACCCTAAATTAATTTGAAAAGTTATAGCGAATGCAGCTTCCCAAACATAATATAAACATTCACTTATTCAAATTAGACATATTCGGAAATATTTTACTAGATTTCAATAAATTTCTGCAATAAAAGCATTTAATCAAAGATGAGCATATACATGTAAATCTTTAATAAGTGAAGTTTCAAAGTGTATTCAAAGCATGATATATAACTAATAGAACAGAAATTACTTACTTTAAAACGTCGTTATGATAATAGTTTACATAATATTTATACATAATTAATTGTTGTATGAAATCAAATGCCTTTAAATTAAGATATTATACCATTGTCTTTTTTAAACAATACAAAACATTACACTGCTTAACGCTTTACTACAGACACAACGCTTCGCTTCTCTACATTACACACAACGTTTCACTACACTACACTACACACACAACGCTTCGCTTCTTTACATAACACACAACGCTTCACTGCACTACACTGCACACATTACGCCTCGCTTCTCTACATTGCACACAACGTTTCACTACACTACATTACATACACAACGCTTCGCTTCTCAACATTACACACAACGTTTCACTACACTACAATATATACACAACGCTTCGCTTCTCTACATTACACACAACGTTTCACTACACTACATTACATTCAGAACGCTTCGCTTCTCTACACTACACACAACGCTTCACTACACTTCACTGCACACACAACGCTTATCTACACTACAAACACAACGATTCATCAACGCTTCAATACACTACACATTGCACACTACACTTTAACTACTACCCCATGGAAATATAATTTCACTATTACATGTATTAATACATATTAACAATTTGAAAATGTATAGTCGTTATAATCCTTCGGTAAACGTATATATCTCAAAATATTTAAGACGACAACTAATTATTTCAGTCAGGTTGTAGAATTTTAAACTATGAATTGACGTATTTGAATATGACATTTTGCATTGACTATAATTTAAATGAGTAAATACCACGCTCGATAGCCAATTATTTAGCTGTAGGAAACGGATAGTTAAAAAGGTATAATGTCTATATTATTTTATAAAAAATGATCAATGTCCAACTATTGGTCGGCATGTAATTGTGTTTGAATGAATTAATATCTGAAAATTATGTCAAGCTTTTACAGCAAATTAGCGGTCTGTAAACACTTGGCATGTGCTATTCTAATTCAATTCAATGGTACATTTTTCTTTACACAAAAGATTGTCAAGTTCAAAAACTTTGGCATATGTGGTTTGAATGTCGCTGCAAAATAAGAATGACAAATAGGAAGAAGAAAACTTGCTTGATAACTTTATAATGTGATTAATAAAGGTGCCAGATACAATTAACTTAAAGTGCCAGAGAAACAAAACAACGACGCGACGTATGCGTTTTTGCTAGGATGCGAGACAACTAAATATGACGATTTGACTGCAATAAGAAGAACTAGGTTAATTGATATGTTTAGGTTATTCAAGGCCTATATAACAATAGAAAAATTCGTAACATAAGTAAAATAATTGTATCCTCCATATTATGACTAAAGTGTTAGTATAGGATAAATTATTCGTGTATACTTCGTTACTTACATTTAAACGAGCACGTGCATGTGTATCTTCAGATGTTCGCATAATATCCAAGGCAAAATAGGTCGAGGTGCAACATGTAGCTCAAGACTTGCAGAGATTTATTGTAACGCAAAGAATACACGCAAGAAGATGAGGGGCACCTGCTACTTTTGTCCCTACACGGAGCAAAATGACGATGTAACTGTTAGTTTGATGGGATACCAATTTATTGACCAGGTTCGTATTTTATATCCAGTATCTTTAGTTTTTTCGCAAAATAAGTTATTGACATATCCTCGTATTTTAACTACTTAAATTATTTTAAAGAGCATATTTAATAATTATGTTGTGTTTTACGGAGTCAACTAACGGAAACTAATAGAACAAATAGCAATTTAAAGAACATGATACTTTGCTCTTTAGCTAAAGAAATATTTACCATAACTTGTCTGCCAAAAATGCGACTGCATATCTTTTCATGAAATGTTAACTTATATCACTATAGCGATTCAGTATATTAAAATGTGATATAACGGCAGGTATTTTTTAGTAAATCTTGTAAAGACACCTACCTAAATTTAACACTTTCAATACATATACGATTCTTATAATAATTTTCTAGAAAAATCGTAACTTATGAAGATCATCTTCAGATGAATTTCCAAAAACATGTTTTATTTTGATTTGTACCAGCTCACAATGTTTTGCGACAAGGATGAGGAATCAGTCAGCGAACATCAACGTCATAATAGCATAGCACCTAACGCACAAAATAAATTTTGTAACGGTAAAAGTGCATGGGAGGTAATGAGAGAGCATGGTGATTTTAAGAACAGTACGTATCTAATCTCGTCTTTGGTCTGACACTTAAATTAATAGTTTTGTTTTCGGAACGTTGGAAGAACTCTTAAAGGTTTTAAAGTACATGTATCATTTTGGTTAAACCTTTTTACATGAATTATATTAATACGGAAGGAAATTTTACGGATATTGACAGATGATAGTAGATGATTGATTACCATAATTCATATTTTATGATAAATAAGTACTGCGTTTGTAAACATCTGCACGTATATTAGTCCTTTTATTTCATTTTACCCATAAAATATGATGCTATACCAGAAATAAATATGAAATATAAATATGAAAGTGGGCGGAGTCAAAACTCATATTTATTTGAAGGGACTTCTTTTGAAAATCTGATAAATACAAAACACCTTTTTGTTGAATTTTGTTTTAAAAACTATCTAGAATGATAAAAAAGGTCTAACTTAGAAAATAAAACCGAACACCAATATCATTAATTCAGTCATTAACGTTGTGCAGAAGCTTAATGAGTTGATTACGTGACGTCACAATGTAGCGCCAAATATCGCGTGTAAAACAAGACGCACATATAAATAATAATTACAAATGTATATTACTGCACGCATTACAATTGCTATTGCGTAGCAAGCAAGGGGGGTCGTAATAATTTTTCTTTGATAATGAAATTAAATAAAAAGGTTATGTTTTTGTTTATCGTGAAATATGGTATATATTTTAACTCAACATGATAAAATCCAACGGAATTAACTTCAATGACTTTTTTAACATTATCACGGGGGAGGAAGTGTTACACGAAGGATAGAGTTCTTATGATAACTTGTTCAGGAGTTCTTGTGATAACTGTCACGGAGTTCGTCGGAAAACATCTGTATATACTACAAAAACACTCGTCAAAAATGGTTATTTTCATCTTTCCAAAATGAGTTTTAGGTGCTAAATTAAACTTTAATGATTAAGCTTGTCTTACATCCTGTATTATGTGTCAAAAACTAATTCACAGGCTAATTTTCATCGCCTCTTGCTTCAAATCTAGTAGTTTTGAGTAAAATTTCCAAATTACTTGCCAATTCACAAGTTTTGACCGGTTTTTGTGTGGCCTTCATCCTTTCCATACATAATTACCTATTTATAATGCAAAATTGCAAACATAAAGCACCGGCTTACAGATTTATAGCCGATTTTTCAAATGTCCCGGAGTCCTGTGATAACTCTGAAGATGTCACAGAGTTCTTATGATAACTTTTGTTATTGCTAGTGGGATTCTTTGGCTAAATCACGGCACGTTTTGGCGTTTATTATCATTCAATAAGATTGTAAATCATTAGGAAATGCAGTACGATCATCCTTTGCACAAAAAATGTGGATAAAACGTTGGTCTCAAGTGTCTGCAAAGGATAAATAGGTGATAGACTATCATCTACAGTAAAATTGAACCAGCGGCCACTGATATTCAGCAGTATAATGGCTTAAACCACAAAACAAAAATGTCTCAAAACGTACACGTTGTTCTCAGTTTCACATGTTTTAAGCAACCACCTTTCTTAAGCAGACAATATATAGGCATGCTTCCCTTACCTAAGGGCTAAGTAATTTGTATCATTTTATACCATAATAAATAAGTATATAACCAGGATAATTTCCACACCTATGTCTTAAAAAAGTACGATACATGATAAAAACTCAACTGCGGTTGGCTCTAACTACCGATCTCTCGAAAAAATTTGAACTGTCCCTCCAGGTTCCAGATTTACCTAGAATGGGATTTCAGTTATTGTGCATGGGCATTCAAACTAGAATTCCCCAGGTGTTGCTTGTAAGTGTCGCAAGTTCTCTAATGTAACTTAAAACAACAGACAAAACTCTGAAACATATTAATCGCTGTACTATTATAACTGCTGTATTACGTAGAAAACAAATGTTTCTCTGATTGATGCAGTAACATAGATGCTGTACTGAGAAAAAATAGACTGTATGCCTGGATGAAAATGATAAAGGGCCAGAAACCTGCTAAGGACTGGAAACTGCTAGGAAACCAGTACATAAATCATTTTTCAAATCTACGAAATCTAAGTCAAACAAAAAAGAATACTATGAAAAAGAAACAGGGGGAAAGAAAAAATATCTCTTGAACTAAAATTCACTCAAAACAAACGTTATATATCCTTTTTTGCGCAAAGGATGAGCGTACTACATGTCAAAATGATTTACAATCTCAATGAATAATTAAAAACGCTAAAACGTGCCGTGATTTAGCGCAAGGAACACACTTGCAATAACAAAAGTTATCATAAGAACTCTGTGACATCTTCAGAGTTATCACAAGAACTCCGGGACATTTGAAAAATCGGCTATAAATCTGTTAGCCGGTGCTTTATGTTTGCAATTTTGCATTATAGTTAGGTAATTATGTATGAAAAGGATGAAGACCAGAAATAAACAGGTCAATACTTGTGAATTGGCAAATAATTTGAAAATTTTACTCAAAACTACCAGATTTGAAGCAAGAGGCGATTAAAAATGGCCTGTGAATTAGTTTTTGACACATAATACAAGATGTAAGACAAGCTTAATCATTAAAGTTTAATTTAGCACCTAAAACTCATTTTGGAAAGATGAAAATAACCATTTTTAACGAGAATTTCCGTAGTATATACAGATGTTTTCCGACGAACTCCGTGACAGTTATCACAAGAACTCCTGAACAAGTTATCATAAGAACTCCATCCTTCGTGTAACACTTCCTCCCCCGTGATTATGGGACTGGAAATTATTTTTCGATATGAATGTTCCATTTGATGTAGGTCTAATCAGATAGCATATGCCAATGAATATAATAATTTATTGTGAAAATAATGAATACATTCCTCGTAAGAAAACTTTTTTATAAATCTTCATATTTTACTACTATTTCCCGTTATTATTTCTACACAGTCAATCGAAATATGTTATAATCCAATATTCTGGTATATTGACTGTTCATATAGCTTGAATTTTATAGTAAGTTAGCCGTTGGAAGATTTTCTCAACTTTATTTTGAGAATATGACAGATCTTACATGTTTGAGAATTACCGTGATACCGCTGTAACCTCCTCTGAATTCAACAAAATTGGCAGACAATCGAAATATGTTATAAATGACATTTAAAATTTATCTTATGACAGTCTTGGAAAATGGTCACTTATTAAAAATCAAAATCTTATTAATTTATGATATTTATATTCAAATATTTTCTGATAAACGTTAAGTACGGTGATATCAAAGAACCCCTGGCTATGTGCTCCAGTTATTTTATGTAAGAAATTCAAGTTCTATGTTTCTAGGTCTGGACCGTATTATATATTTAGGAAATAGATATCAATTCTGAGTGCATTGTTGTAGAATAATGCACGGTTTAAGTTCAAATGCGTAGTAATACACTGACGTGATTGTGTCACTATAGACAAAGAAGGAAAAAAACTGGTGTTAAACTGTCAATAAACACCGGTAAGAGACTATTTGTATATGCGCTATTATGTTTTCACCCTCGATTGTATAGTTTATAAAGCATTTTAAAGCAACAATAAAAAACATTTTTATTTATATTTTCAGTTCGTATAATGTTTTCTTTTCATACAATACCGAAATAATATCTCAAATACACTAACGCCATATATTAGATCCATATCAGTTAATAAATATTTTGACAAAACGGCGCCAATCCGTAAGCAGCTTTATGACGTCATCCCGAGTAAACAACTCATTCATAAACAAGCTTACGTTATTTCATACATACAAGAATGATAAATGGGGCACTGATGTAAACACAATGCGACTTAAGTTTTTATTGTTGAAAACTTGATAAAATAACGTTTTTTTTTTCTTATTATTTCTTTTGTTTAACAATTTCTATATCTTTGCAACAGAAGGGTGCGAAAAATCGAACAGCGTTATATGAAAATCGGCACCGGAAGTTGTTTTCGCTTGAAAAATAACATTTAGTGATTTTCCTTATTTTATCGTGTTAGAATCGAAATAACATCGGCCGGAGAGGTGTATATCGGCTATTTAACACCGGTTTTGTCGTTTTGATGCGAACAAATTAACCACTCAGGCCTACGGCCTTCGTGGTCAATTCCTACGCATCAAAACTCCAAACCGGTGTTAAATAGCCGATATACACCTCTCAGGACGATGTTATTTCTTAAACAATGCACTGAGAATTGATATCTATTTCCATTCTAATACGTCAAGAAAAAATATAATTATCATTATCAAGTTGGACTTTATGTTTGGTGGTTAAATTTGTTTTAGCATCAGAGTTTCCAATAGAAACGTTATTTAAAGGCTGTATAAAAAATCTGTCGTTCAATCTACCGTGTGTAGAAACATTTTCAGAATAACGAATTTTTAAAACGTTGATAAAATGTTTATTTTATTTCACTCTATAATTTTTCAAGCGAAATACAAATTATAAAAAGTGGAATAAATGTAAAACTTAACTCGTTTGCGACACTAAAATAGCGTACTTGATTTGATTGTTTTGCACGTGCTGTTTGGCGCTACATTGTGACGTCACGTAAACAACACTTTAAACGTCTGTACAGCATTAACGACTGAATTAAAGATATTGGTGTTCGGATTTATTTTCTTAGTTAGACCATTTTCTTTCATTCTAGATAGTTTTCACAACAAAATTCGACAAAAAATGGTTTTATTTATCAGATTTTTCAAACAAAATGGAGCCCTCAAAGTGAAAATTCACAGGGAGATAATAAGAACGGCGAGTGCATTGTTTAGAGGTTAATACTTGGTTGCTGCTCGGCATTATGCGATAATGGCCCGAAGATGTGCATAATGGCCTTCGGGCTTGCGGCCGTCAGGCCATTATGGACTCGAGGGCCATTACCGCATAATGCCGAGCAGCAACCAAATATTAACGTCTTTAATACCTATGTCCGAAATACGGCATTTAGACATCGCCGCTAATCTTGGTTGTCGCCCTTTCTAAGAAACGGACAGTTGTCAATGTAAACAAAAATATGTCATTCAGTTTAACCCTCTTATTATATTTGAAACATGAGAAAAAAAATAAATATGAGACAATGTTGTTTTATTGTTGTTTATATCGATAAAATCTTTTTGTGAAAATAACAAATAGTGCCAGTTTATGTGCCTCCGAGACTGATGTCTAGCTCCATTTGTCATAGTTCTGGCTTCCATAACTTTATATGTCGCTTTTATTTTGACGTTGCGACAGGTCTAGCAGTACTATAAAACCTGTTCGCTGAAGTATCTTTAGCTACATTTGTCATCGATCCGATCTTATTTCTACAGTCAAACTGAAATCATTTTTGGAAATTCTGAGGGTTATGTTTTGGCTTTGGTAGAGTTATTGTATTCTTTTTCTTGAGTTTATAAATCTTCAATGTTAAGCATTGTTGATTGAGACTGATAACGTCATTTAAACTGACAGTTTTTTGTGCAAGTGACTACAGTTCATTGAACGTCAGTAGCCATCTTGAAAAACACTGATAATTGATTACGTCATTCTGCACGTGTGCTCATTCACTCGCCAATCATGGAAAAATAATGCCGAGAAGCAAGGCGGCCAAAATTGCATAATGACATAGATCCTGAAATACCCTAGATTTTGTTACTGTATATAGTAACATAGGTATTAATGTAGAATAATGCATGCTTCGGGCCTTCTTTGTTTATATAGAAAAAATCCGATAGTGTTAGAATATATAATATATATAATTTCTTTGGTATGTATGCTGTCTAATATTAATTTTTTCAAGCCCACACGATTGTTTGTATATTAGGCTTCTGTAATTTATAACAAGACTAGTTTTATAATGATCAAAATCGTATGTGCCAATATGCCTTATTCAAACATATGTTAAACGCACTCCCTAAAATCGGGCGTTGTATGAGTGTTACCATTGTAATCAAAGTGTAATATTCAGTTTTAGAACATCCACGAATTGTTGCGATATCGAATGCACGAGGATTGATCAAAACGTTCTCGGCCCGATGTACTTCCGGTAGTCAGAGAACCCAACAAATGGTCTAACTTTTCTATACAATCTCCATACAATCGGTACATCAATGCACTTTACCCACCTGTGCTCCAGCTTGTTTAGCCCTTCAAAATATAACTCTATTTTGACCCTCAAAGAATTGACCGCCTCCATGACACCATTATTGCTTCAAAAACGTCTACTACAAAGCTTGGTTTTCATTTTCGGAAACAGGTAGACGTCAGATGGGGGCAAATCCGGAGAATATTGGGGATGGGGAAGACTTTCAAAGTCGCAATCAGTTCCAGCAGCCATAGCAACTTGAAATATGTGAACTGGCGCATTGTCGTGCAGGAGCAGATCGCCTACAGTCAGTTTGTCCTCTTTTTACGCGCGACTTCTTGACGCAGACGTCTCAATAGTACATCTAAGTTATGGTACGACAATGTTCAAGATAGTCAATCATGATTATCCCCTGACTATCCCAAAAAATCGAAGCCATCATCTTTCCTGCTTGAATTTCTTCGGATGGGGTGTGCCCGGGTCTTCCACCGCACACCCTGCTTTTTTGGATTCTGGATCGAAGTGATGAACTCATGTTCTGAGATACGATTCGGTAGATAAAATCAGGTTCATCCTCGTAGCGAGACAAAAGATGCCTTGAAATGTCAATTCTGGTCCGTTTCTGGTCGTAAGTCAACCGTCTGGGGACTCACATAGCGTAAACCCATGAAATGCCATAGACATCAGTCAGAATTATCTGAACTGAACCAAAGCTTAAACCTACTTCCCTAGCAATACTTCGCAGGACTCGCCTTCTGTCGCACATGACCAGATCGAGCACAGCTTTAGCAGGTTTATAGTTGGTGGCCTCTTTTGACTGCCCTGGCCGTTCATTATCCCCAATGCTTTCTCTGCCCCTCTTAAATTCTGCAGCCTATTTTTTTAAAAGTGCTTTAGGAAGGGGACTCCTTCCCGAGTGTATTTCAATTAAGTCTAAATGGATTTCCTTGGTGGGACATCCATTTCTTACGAAGGTACTAAATTGCGGCTCTGATTTAAAATTTCTCCCCATTTGGTCTAAATGACACACCCCTCTACTAATCAAAGTGTGTTTTATGTTACTTTATCCGTGTTTCAGTTATCTTCAATAAGATATCTGTATCGACGTATCGTGTTCAATTATCAGTGTAGTCGGGCCGAAAACTTTTTGATCATACCTCGTATCGTAATAATTGTATTAAGTACACTCTTGTGAAATGACCATAATGATACTACAACAACGTTATAGTACAGGTTTGTGTTACATAAAGTGTATTTCACTAGTTATATATTAACATCAATAAGGTAATCAATAAGTTCGCATTAGATTTACATTCAAATTGTTGTCATATGATTGTGTTTGATAGTTAAAATGATGGTTTTATTCCAATTTTTACAAAGATCCACAGACATTGCCAAGTGATACAAACACGAATCCAGAATTTGAATTCGTCCAAGAAGGTGAAATAAATCGTGTATTTGTTCTAGACGTTTCTGGAAGTATGGCTATAGTAAGTTTGTTTTCATAAATTTTAGTTAACAGATCATATAAGGGATTATTTCAAACTTTATACATTACATTTTTTTTAATAAATTTATTAAACAACTATTTTAATTTGGATTTAGAAAAAAAAAACATTTTCTTAAGGCAATAATTATGTACCTAATTACATAAGTATAGATTTTGTAAAGTACAGATATTGTTCATGATCATGAATACAAACTTTGTAATGTAAAAGTACATATCCATAAACGATACTGACAACAGTTATGAATAGATTCATAAATTCCCAGATTTACACCATGAAATATTCTTATATGGTCTTATATCATTTAGAATAAAAGAATAAGTGTCCTGAAACAAGCAGGGGAATATATTATACGTGAAAAGATTGAACAAGGCAGTTGGTTGGGAATTGTGACCTTTGGCGGGATGGCTTACATACGAAAAGACTTAATGCAAGTCAATTCACAGACAGATCGGGATAGCCTACGTAACGCCCTTCCAACATACACGATAAGAGGTACCTGCATTGGGTGTGGTATCGATAAGGCTATAGAGGTAGTCATTGTAATTTTTTTACCAGTGCATCATTTAGACTTGCGTGTAATTTCAATAATTATTATTATTCTGTTGGGTTTACAACTTGATTAATTGGCATGTCATTTTTAACTTACAAATATATGTACACCTATAGAACTACCTACATTAAGGAAATATATGAAGATAAAACTTTTGAAACACATGTGATTCATGAATGTATTTATGATGAATGCAATTTCTTTTCCAACTAAGCAAACAAGGCAGGTAGTGGTGAATAAAAGTTTGTGTTACATAAAGTGTATTTCACTAGTTATATATTAACATCAATAAGGTAATCAATAAGTTCGCATTAGATTAACATTCAAATTGTTGTCATATGATTGCACTCCCCAGTACCGTTCATGAACAGGCTCAATCAAACCGAGCCTGCAACATTTTCAATTTTGTCGTGTTGGGCTTTCTTTAGGGATTCTGTATTTATCTATTTTATGATCACATCCGTGTTATTTGTGTCGTGTGGCGGCTGTAAAAAGTATCCCGGTACATTTAATCAATGATGTTATATTTTTGATCCTTGAAGATCGTTCAGCACTACATAATTGTTGTGCTTGTGGTATTTTTAGTTTCAACTTTTCGGCATTTTCTAGTTGGGTGGTTCCAATATTCCTACTTGAATAATGTTGAATCACCCTTAGGATATGTTGCCTGCTTTTTAAATTTGTCTTTTGACGTCTTATCTGTGATGTGCAGGCTTCATAACCTCTGATCCCCTTTCGAAGAAATTCCATTTTATTTAGTTCCGCCCATTGTTTTCTCGGTTAGGGCACACGCTTTTTATCACTTGGGGACCATACGCCGCTTTTCATGGAATGGCACGGGAGTGTCACATTGAAGGTTCCATGATAACCGCCGTATGAACACATCTGCAGATGTTTCTAAATTCAAAATTTTACTATTTCATGTTTAAATGTTGAATTCTGCTTAAGCCGGTGCTAGGGGGCGTGGACGGTAACTTGCACTTTCCAGTACCGTCCATGAACAGGCTCAATCAAGCCGAGCCTGCAACATTTTCAATTTTGTCGTGTTGGGCTTTCTTGGTTGAAAATATTAATTAATAGTAGCAAATATGCCAACAGACCACGCAATAAGTATATGAGTGCTGTTGATAAATGAGATACATGATCCGATATTACATGTATTTTATATATAGCACTAGCAGATAATCAACTGTTCTAGAACAAATATTAGTATCCATCAATCATATTAACTTATTAAAAATTTTACCCAACATTTTATTTCAGAAAAAAAAACCTCTAAAGAATAACTACATTATACGTTATTATTGCTTTTATCAATATCTAAAATAATTATGGTCACTATGCCCATGGTAAACCAGTTTACTTTAAATCAGACTTTTAAATCGGTGCTAGCGGGCGTGTAAACCAGTTTACTTTAAATCAGACTTTTAAATCGGTGCTAGCGGGCGTGAGGGATGTGGCACTTATTCATTATCTCTCATGTACAGACTCAATCAAACAGAGTCTGCAATTCTTATATAATATTGTTATGATTAATGCTTCCGATGGATCACTTTGTTTCCAGAATTTTGTTTAAATATAATTGAAATATGATAATGCTTCGAATATAGTTCTGACTTTTGTACATTTAGATATGGTGTGAAGCTACTGAGAACTGAAACAGAAAGATATGAAATAGAGAAAATAACAATCCCTAAAGAAAGCCCAACACAGCAAAATTGAAAATGTTGCAGACTCGGTTTGATTGAGCCTGTTCATGGACGGTACTGTCAAGTGCAAACTACCGTCCACGCCCCCTAGCACCCGCTTAAGCAGAATTCAACATTTAACATGAACTGGTACTATTTTGAATTTTGCAACATCTGCAGATGTGTTCATATGGCGGTTATCATGGAACCTTCAATGTGACACGTAAGTGCCATTCCATGAAAAGCGGCATATGGTCCCCAAGTAAAAATATGCGCTTGCCCTAAACGAGAAAACTGGGCGGAACTAAATAAAATGGAATTTTGAAAGGGGATCAGAGGTTATAAAGCCTGCATATCACAAATAAGACGTCAAAGGACAAATTTAAAAAGCAGGCCACATATCCGAAGGGTGAGTCAACAGTATTCAAGTGAGGAATACTGAACCACCCAACAAGAAAATAGCCGAATAGAAATAACTAAATTAACACAAGCACAACAATAATGTCGTGTTGAGCGATCTTTAAGGATCGGAAATATAACATCTCTGATTGAATGTACGGGGCGACTTTTAACAGCCTCCACACGGCACAAACAACGCTGATGTGGCGAGAAAATAGAGACAATAAGAATCCCTAAAGAAAGCCCAACACAGCAGAATTGAAAATATTGCAGGCTCGTTTTGATTGAGCCTGTTCATGGACGGTCCACCTAGCACCGGCTTAAACTATTAAAAATGTCTGACTTTACATTTTCAATTTTGCCGTGTTGGGCTTTCTTTAGGGATTCTGTATTTATCTACTTTGATGTAGTAGATTCAGACTTACATGTTTGCAACATTGGCACATGTATGAGAATATATGCAATACATCATGGAGTATAAAAAATCTGAATACAAAGTGATCCCTCGGAAGCATTAATCACATCAAAATTACAAGAAAATTGCAGACTCGGTTTGATTGAGTCTGTACATGAGGGATACTGAAAAAGTGCAACATCCATCACGCCCCCTAGCACCGGCTTGAGCGGTACTCAATTCTCAACACTTAATTTTAAATAGAAATATATTGTCCGGCTTACAAAAGTCAAACTGCTGGCGGGAGTTTGACTAAAAACTTCACAGGAGTGATTAGTACCATACCTTGTGTGTTGTGAGGCATATTTTTGGAGACAAAACACCCTTTTGTTGACATATTTCTTTCAAATTTGGAAGAAGGATAAATTTCATGGTTTCCGCTTTTTTAAGGCCGTATTGACTAAACTTAATATTTATTACTTGTAATGACAATGCTTAATTAAACTAAATGATTTACTTACAAATAATCAGTCAACTAGAATATGTTTCAAGACCTACCTTAAAAACAGTAAACAGAAGAACATAATATTTGTGTAAATAATATTTTGTTCTTTGGGTCTTCCCCCCTTTTATAGGACTGTTTAACTCATACAATTTATAGGAGACCAATCAGATAGTAACTCGCAAGAATAAATGATATTCGTGTGTTTTAATTCAGCATTTTTAACAATTTGCAATGTCTTTATGTTTATGATATATACTTTGTGTATAAAGTGTGTATAATGAATTTAGTCTCTTGCAATTGTTACATAGGGAATGGCTATTTGAATGTAGTTTTATGTCTTTTCTGGTATGAAATTAATGTAATGAAATAAGAGATAAGACTGACATAAATTTAAGTAATTTTAATATTGTAACGGTTTTGAGAGTAAAATGCTCGACAAGTGTTAGATTTCTTTACGATTACCATCATTTTGTAAATATCTTTATGTTTAAATCAATAGAGATGTGAGTGTAATCGAGGGAGATATACCTTAAGAAATCAATTGCAGTAATATGGGCAATACACTTCTCTTTTTTACAAATTCTATATTAATTCTTATTCATGTTTGCTATGATTTTATCTGTGTAATATCTATGTAAACTCGTATTAATTAATATGTATAGATAAGACTACAATAATAGCTTAATGTGTGATGTAGTCATTCATGAATGTATTTACGTAACAACGTAGTAAAGATTGATTGCTTGAGGAACTTTAACTGTATGCGCAGAAGCATTTGCAGTTGGTCAGTGACTCTGCCAAAGTGCTAATTCCTGATCTAACTGATGCATTGTGTTTATCTTGGCTGTGCTTGTGTTTTGACTACATTAAACGATTTATGAATATATGTTGAAACAGTTTTAGCATTGAGTTCAACTGTTCTGACAATTTAGTAACTGCATTGATAAAAGGACGTTGTTTTTTTCCTGATGTATGATATAGAAATTTTGTCAAACAGTGGTTTAAAAGGGGTGAACAAATTTGTTTCAGATGCTAACAGATGCGCTAGGTTCACCTGAAAATGGAGAAATAATACTTATAACAGATGGGGAAAACACTAAAGGAAATCTTTATTTATCTAGGCAGAATGCCATAAATGCCAAGATTAAAGTTACCACAATTGCCGTATCTCAGCAAGCAGACACACTTCTTTCCGACATTGCCATCGAAACTGGAGGAAAGCACTTCACATATTTGGAATTGGACACTATCAGCCTTGCAGCTGTATTTGATGCAGCCATCTCTGGCGGAGGCTTTGTTACAAAAGCGGCAAGCCAGCCTGTAATGGTAGAAAACGATACCTTTATTCAATAAGATTTTTCACATTTCCCACAAGCCTATAAATTCGAAATCGTAGATGATATATGTCTACAACGTTAGAGAAGACTATTGCATCAGTTTTAAATTTTTATAGCAATAAATAAGAACAAAGCTGTTAAAACCTATGTAGTTAAATGTTTTCAGCAGACCTATTACTTGAAACATTCTATATATCTAAAAAGTTAAACTTAGTTGATATATTATTATTATTATTATTATTATTATTATTATTATTATTATTATTATTCACAGTGTAATTTCAAAAATCTTCTTTAACTTTGCAGATACTATCAGAAAAAAGTGCTTCAATTGAGATAAATAGAACATTTTCAATAGAAACAGACTTAGGTAAGAACACATCTGTTTCAGTGTTAACAACAGTAAATGACAACATATACCTACAACTAAATGGCCCAGCAAACTTCACTGAAACTCTGACCGTCTATGGAAATAGTGCAACAATAAAAATAGATGGCATTGCCAAGGTAAAACATTTGTTTGAAATAAACTCTATATGTCGTTATTTGGTTAATTCAGATAAACTCATGTTATCTTACTTTGTCTTATTTAATTAAATTATTATATATTTTCTTACCTGGATCGTGAAAAATATCCAATACACTTGTGTTTTTATTTGTTGTTTCACATAAAAATATGACAGAGGGAAAAAATCAAAAATTTGTTGGTCAGTAAAGATTAAAGCAGCACAGCTCCATTCATAATGCTTAATGAGGAGAATTCGGGTGTACGTTCAACATATATTTGTAAGACCTCGCCAAGTCAACGATGTAACCCGTTGATAAATTTATATTTTTTTGCTCGAAGCCTGTTGACTTTTCGTTTTTTATGAATAATAAGATTCCAATTTACATAATATTGCAATACCAAAATGATTCTCTAATGCTAGTCCGCTAGCTTTGGTGAAAAGCGATAACGTAAATTTTATTATATTTAGTTATGCAGAGGTCGCTATTCCACGGTGCATATCCATATCGGTACCCTCTTTGCGAAATCTGCTCAAACGGTACCCTCTCTGAACATGCACAGGTCATTCTCTGCTAAAAACAAATCAGCGATGGATAACAATACAGTAAAATTTCATTGTAATAAGGAAAAGAGGTATGACACGTAGAAAAGATGTATACCACGGAACACTAGAATGTTTTATTTATGTGCTGATTTGTCATGTGCCCGATTTTCATGTACTTCAACTTCACAATAAGCTACAAGAAATCAACATGTCTTGCTTCGCATATGCTTTTATTTGCGTGAATCGTAACATGAGCATGTAATACTTTATACTTTTATGTAAATATTACATACTTAACGATTTAGGCAAATAAAAACATATGTCGTGCTTTGAGGGTACCTATTCGTTCAATAATGAGAGGGTACCTGTGATATAAAAATTCAAATGAAGAGAGGTAGCCCGTGCCGCTGCAAAACCGAAAGTAGGGTGTTATTATGAATTTTACATTTATTTTTGACAATATACTGCCATTTGTCAAAAGGTGATATGTATATGAACATATTAAATATGTATGATGCATATATAATCAAGCCACAGGTTCATTTCAGCCAGAAAAATATGTCGAGGTGATGAGCGAAGTAAGACATGTCGATTTTTTGTAGCTTATTGTGAAGTTGAAGTACATGAAAATCGGGCACATGACAAATCAGCACATAAATAAAACATTTTAGTGTTCCGTGGTATACATCTTTTCTACGTGTCATACCTCCTTTCCTTATTACAATGAAATTTTACTGTATTGTTATCCATCGCTGGTTTGTTTTTAGCAAAGAATGACCTGTACATGTTCAGAGAGGGTACCGTTTGAGCAGATTTCGCAAAGAGGGTACCGATATGGATATGCACCGTGTATTCAGTACACAGGTGGCAGTATCAGTGCAGTCTGATACCTGGGTTGAAATACGCGATCTGATTGGACGAGCCAAATTGGACGTCCAATCAGATCGCGTATAACACACAGGTATCAGAATCCAAAATGGCAACGACAAGTCAAAAATTACCGTGAAATAGAAAAAAATCGATAGAATATTGATATGCGTTAGACTTGAATTAAGTAAGCTGTGGAATTCAAGTTCTTTTTATTGATGTAAATGAATGATGCAGCAAAATGCCTTCGGAATGCGCCTCAGTCGCCGAAACGACGATTTCCCGTGTTCCACATTGTTTGGCAAATGAACATATAGTAGGCTTTTCACCTTTCTATAACTATAATTTTGATAGTGGAATTTTTTTTTGATATATAATTTCATCGGTGGTTTTGTATTTGGTACCTTATAGTAACACGAGTGTTGAATTTTTTTTCAGGGTTGTAGTAGGGGTCCAGGGGCAGGTAGGGGTGGGTCGTCCAAACACTGATACTGCCACCTGTGATTCAGTATATAAATGGCTTGGTGTTTTCTTTACATTTAAAACTGATAAATGGTTTAGTACATAGTGAATGATTGACAAGATATTTAGCATGATCAGAGAAATGTATATTGTCATGACGGTGTTTTTCTTTTAAGATTGGCGACTACAGTTTGACAATAACAACAACATTTAGACAAAATGTCGAATACCACGTGACGACGTCTCCAACAATAACAACCAGTGACGTTATACGTGTTGTATCAAGATTATTAAAAACTAATATCGACTTATCGTCTGAAGATTTTCCGGTAGTCTTTGCAGATGTCACAAAGAGTAACGCCCCAGTAATAAATGTAACTGTAACAGCTACTGTTGAATCAGACACAAATCCTCCTTGTACATTAAGTATGTCTGACAATGGCATTGGTAAGAATGCTTTAAACGTGATCTTTGATTTACTAGTTTTGCATGACTGACTGTGTATTGTTGATAGTAATCAATGTTTCTGATGTCTCTTAAAACTAATATACTATTCGACACTCCTATTTGGCAAGGGTTTGTTCGGGCATCCGGTCATTGAATGCCATGTTGGTATTTGTTTTCTTATTTTAGAATTCAACATTGTATTTAAAGTTATACCCCCAAAGATTAATAATAGCTTGCGGTTTTTATCAGCAAATGACAATACAAATACAGCAAGCAATTGTAAAATCAATGCCGGTATATGTTATTTTAATACCACGTAAGGGTGACACTTAAGTGAAGTAAAACATTCTACATATCAATTTTGCTATTATAGAGCCGGACCGATTGAAAAATGACGGAACATACTCTTGTTACATTTTACCCGGGTGCCTGGGATCCGGACGCGTACAGATCAAAGTGAAAGCATCTGGTGAGAGTGGAGAAACTCTCCTTCTGTACAGTAATACAGGTTCTGCACTTCAAGATGAAGGTAAGTTGAATTGATTATTAGTAAATTTTAAAATGTATTTAACAATATTTTAAGAATACTGTGACTGATTTCTGTCAAAACAAAACTCAAACAACGTTAATGTAACTATAATGATAAAAATCATAATGATAAGAAATTGTAACATATTTTTTATTTCATTCTGAAGTTTATTGCAAGCAATCAAAGCTCTGTTTAAACGTGTTACGAAGTTTAAATTCGTGATGATGATGATGATGCGGACAGTTAATCACTCTTCAAGATCTTTTCCTTCTTACCGCTTATATTACCTCATTGATTCAGAAGAAACCGGATAATAACCTCCCAACGTTGACAACAAACAAGATACTGATAAAAATATCTTATCTAATGATATAAAATTAACTTCTATTGTATGTTGGCAATCCTATTCTTATTTACTCCAAGTGTGTCCGATGTTTGTCCTGTGATCATTTCCAAATAATGTGAATTACGGTCTTTAATATTTTGACCCTTCCTTTAACGTCATCTTCAAATCCGTCTGAGTTTCATTTACATTAAATGAGATGTAATTAAATTCAAAGAAGTCCCAAACAGAAAACAAACAGGAAAAAACATATATATAGGAATTCAACTGCAGTCCAAAAGTCTAAAACATAAAATTTTAATTTCTTAAAGAGATCAACTGGGCCACTTAAAAAGTAACTTGTGCACTTGAAAACTCAGAAATAAATTCAAAATTATTTAGAAAATCGTACTTTTGTGCTTTACTTAGCCCGAGGTGCAAAGCTTTTCAATTTTAGATCATTTTTAACAAGAACAAGTGTTACGTCAAAACAAAATGAGCGAATGATCTCAATTTCGCACACTATCTGTTTGTGTAGACCTACTGTATATCACTGGAAATCTAATCGTGTAAACTATTTCAAGTCCAATAACGGCAAAAAAAACTTCAGTAGAGGTCTGTTAAGTATGGTGGAGTTCCTTTAAGTAGGTATTAACGGAACGTATGCTTTTTAATCAAATAAACAATTCATACGTATAGGAATATAAGTACTTGGAGTAGTAAAATTCTGGAAACAAAAGTGATCCCTCGGAAGCATTAATCTCAAACAAATTACATAAGAATTGCAGACTCGATTTGATTGAGTCTGTACATGAGAGATAATGAATAAGTGCAACATCCCTCACGCCCCCTAGCACCGGCTTGAAAAGTAAAGTAAAGTCATTTTGGTTCAAATTCAAAATTGCACAAATTTCAGATGACACAGTGATAGAGGAAACTATTGTTAATTCCTTTCAACGAAATGTTGTAACAGAGGAACTTTATATATCAAACTACATATATGATGAATCAGTAGACACTATAGCACCTGGCATGATAACAGATGTCGAAATAAATAATATCGAGACCGAAACAAAAGAAAATGGAGAAAACAGAAACTTAACAATCACTTGGACAGCAACAGGAGATGATAAAAATCAGGGACAAGGTACTTTTAAAATTATTTTGATATTAATTAGATGAAAGAATATCAGAACTATAACAGACAAAATAAGGCTTGCATTCAAAATAGCATGTTTAAATTTCAAACATTTATGTTAGCAACTTAAAGGTTTAGCAGGATGAAATGTCATCCAGTTGTCTTATATTTGTAGATTTGTAATTGCAATGAATACGCTATAAAAAATGGTAATTTCTATTGCAGCTACGTCATACGAAATGAGAATTGCAAGTGATATTGGTACTCTACGTGACAATTTTGAATCTGCGGAGCTCATAAATTCGACGAATTCAACTAATAGTATATTCCCACAAGTTGTTGGAACGAGAGAAGCGTTAAAACTTGTTGTAAATGCAGAACATTCATATGTAGAAACCACTTTCTTTGCTGTACGTGCTATCGACGATGCAGGCAATAAGGGCCCTGTCTCAAATATTATTTCTATTATAGTTGCGAGTGGTTTCCGTGTATCCGGCGAACAAGGTTATGCGATTGATGAAACAGAAGATGATTTCATTCGAGACGAAGGAGGAGAATCACTGACGCAATCAACTGATAAGCTAAATATCCGACACATAATTATCGGGGTTTCTGTTACCTTTGGAGTGCTTCTGTGTGTGGCAATTGTTTTCTTTATTGTAAAAAAATCGAAAGCACAAAATTCGGCGGTAACAGGAAAATTTTCAAACATTTTGTAATTATTAAAATTATAAATCACTTTAACTGTACTAATTGCATAAAAAACTGAAACAGAAGCAATAAAATGTTCAGGTAAAAGGCCAATAAATATTTTTTTGGAAACTATCACAAGACAACAAACAAAAGCTTTAGAAAAGTAAAAGTATTTCTTGGACATAAAGGCTCTTTAGTTAAGAGTATGTGTACTACCTGTGCATTATAGCTAAAACGGAGGTGAAGGATAAATTTAAATGACGATATTAAAGGGTTTGCAGTAACCAGGTTTATAAAACAGGCCATCTTCTATTCAAAGTGATTTGTCTATCCTTAGCTATTGTCAATCATACGGACACGTACAGACTTATTCCTGCAGGTGTACCAAGTATTTTGAAGAAATACATCATATGTTATCTTTAATACGCACAGAACACATAGGTTCTTTTTTCTTTTCCTTTAGGCAAATTCAGCAAATGTGTTAATAAATTGTGTGAATAGCTCTCTGAAATCTATGATTCAAACAAAATTTAAGACGCTTGTAGGGATAGGATGATTAAATGTCTTTTTAAGCAAATGAAAATGTATATTGAAGTAATACCTGTTGTCTGACTATAGAACAAATCAAGTTAGTAACATAAGCATATATGTTCAATATATCTTTTTGGTGAATTTGAATTACTTACCAGAAAGCTCAACGTAAGCTATTTACTCATCCATGTTTGGTTGTTGCACTTTTTCATTATCCCTAATGTACAGACTCAATCAAACCTATCAATCTCTGCAATTGCCATGTAATTTTATTGTGATTAATGTTTCTGAGGATCACACTTTACCCAGATTTTTAACTGAGGGAATGGACGATAAATTCATTTGGGTCATCTATTTTGTAGCATTTTACCTTAATGTTTTGTTGTTGTTGTTTTTTCTATTAAAAATCGGTTCCGAATTATTATCGTGCACATGTAGGTTTCAATAAAATTCCTTGTTATACAAGATTTAATATAATATTATATCTTACTATTGATATATGACTTTGAATATGTATTTTGTCAAAACAATTTTATAAATCACTTAACGCTAATAAACGGAAAATACATGTAATGAAATAGCGATCAATTTTCTTGAAATTATAATTATATTTGTTCAGACCGGATACTGAAGTGCTTATTAAATTAAAGTTGTATCATAGTTTGGAGATCTTGCAGTTACCTTCATTCCAGTCATCGCACAGTCTGTCTGGGATAAAACTAAAGCATGCTCGTTGATTGGCTCATTTTTCTTTGGTTTACTTATGACGACAGGGAAAGGTATAACAATTACAGTCAACATTGTATTAAGAGACCACTCAAGGGACTGCCAAAAAGTGGTCTCTTAATAAAGTGGTATCTCAATAGAATACCGGAAAATTCGAGACTTTTTATTACAAGTCATAGTTATAATAACATCTTTTTTTATAAAAAATAAAAACTATACAATATTATGTATGTATTACAGTTTAATAATTACATTTATGCCTTTTTTAAAAAATAGTCATCAATATTGTTGGTTTTTGTTTTTTAGTAAAAATTTGTGTACAAATGTGATCTACGCTCATAATACTGTCAACAGGTCATTTTGACCATGAAACAAAGCAGATTGTCTTATATTTTTAATATGTTCATACACATCTCCTGCTGAACATACTTTAAAATCATCTGACAGAGCTCCAAATATTTTTTTATGCAATGAGTTTTAAACTTCTTAATTTTTTCAAGAATTAGTTTTCACACTACCCCGATTTCAAATTCAATAAGATTTTTAGAGATCTAGGATTTTTTGGTCTTTTTTGTCGAAGGGTCATATTTAATGGGATACTACATGTATTTTATAAAGCATCAGATGAGCACCTATACCATCAGCAATGAAAGGTTCGGTTCTGTAATGTTTAGTCCTATACGTTTCACGATTTTATTTCGACTACAATCGATGACATGTGCTATTTACTCAGACTCAATTCCATGCACGATTTCCTCATACAATTTATCCGGTCTTATTAGATGTCTGTCTTTTTTTTCGCTCGATCCGACGTCATTTTCTTTAAGGGAGGTCACTCTGAGCACATGACTACGCAAATGCGGTGTTGTGATACGTTATTGCTCTGACAAAATATGTCACAATAAATATTACGATCGGAAAATCCGATTTTGAAACAATTGCAATTGTTATTCGTTTTTAAACGACAATTATTTGTGACCATTGACCATGTAAAATATTTGTTTGTTTGCTTGTACACATCTAACCTACTCGCTAATTACACAGGTGAGAATGCCCGCAGGGACGATTGTTTGTCACGGCCGTTTAATAGATACTTTAACACTTAATTTTGTACATTTGGGCCGACATTCAGTGGCCGCTGGCCGCGATATAAAATAGTCGTTTAATGGAATTAAATTAAATAGTAAAAATCATCGGGAGGGATTTTATGCGGCCGCTTAATAAAAAAGTCGCTTAATAAAGGTGGACGCAAGTACGATGCCGACTGTATAGAAAAGTCATGTTCAGATGCTCGTTCATTGGTTACTTTTATATAGAATTACATATTTTGACGGCAGGGGACTTATACTCGTACAAATCAGATTGCCCCGTGTTTCGATATTTTTTCAATTTACTTTTTACTACTCGAAAGTTGATAGGGAAATTTGTGTTTATTTACTAAATTTTTCTTTAACGGTCACCCCAAGTAATTTTTGTTTCAAAAATGTGAGACCGGTTTTGAACTTTCGGAATTGTCAGACATAGGCATGGTGATGGTCGTGAGAGGGTAACAACTCGGCGTGAAGACGGTTATATTGTTATAAGCAGTATGAGAAGGCGATTCTGAGCAAAATCTAAGTAATGGGCACCACATGCCATACTAATGCAGAATTCAGGCAACTTACTTAATTTTAGTAAAAAGCTTCTTTTTTTGTTACCTTAACGTGTTATCCGTAATAATTGCCCTACCAAGTTTCAACCGGTGATCAGCTTCAACAGTTTGTCGGCCTATTCCTTTTTTAACACAAAGATGAGATCAAATGAACAAATTTCTGAAAATGTATAACATCACTTAATAATATATTAATGTTTTAAATTTATGTAAGGAATAAACAAGATCTTATAAGATATCATTATCGAATTTTCGAACAATATATATAATTACAGGTTTCTAAAAGGAAGATCAGGTCGCAGCTCATTGTTTCCTCAAACAAGATAATTAATCTTAATAAAGTATATTTTGCTGCATTCTGTATTTTTCTGGTGCAAAAACGTCGTTATTGCAGCTGTTTTCTCGCCGATGAACATGAACTTCAATCTTTTGCGCTCTTAGTTTATCTGTAGCATAAAAGAGAGACATAAAGAACCCCTAAAGGACGGTGTTTTGCACTTTCCAGTAACGTCCATGAGTATGCTTAATCGAACCAAACATGCAATATTTTCGTCGTTTTAGGCGTTCTTTAGAGATTCCGTTTTCCCTATTATATTCAACTGTAACTGAAAACAGGAATAATAATTAAAAATATATCTCAGTCAAGTGCTTGAGTGTTTGTTAATGTTTATGTGATTCTTTGTGATTACGAAGCAAACGTAATTTTCTTTACAAAAATCTGGAAACAAAGTGATCCCTCGGAAGCATTAATCACAACAAAACTACATAAGAATCGCAGACTCGGTTTGATTCAGTCTGTACATGAAAGATAATGAATAATTTCAACATCCCTCACGCTACAAGTTGTATTTTGTGTAGGATTTTAAGCCACATCGATCATATCTTAACATTAATGTTAAATCAGCATGCATTCAAATCAAACTTGTGAAAAATGTACGAAAAGTAGTAAGATTCAAGAGTCAAGTAATAATTTACATTTTGTGAGCTATCAATGGTGATTTTTTCATTATTTGTCACTATATTTCTACTGCGTTAGTAACGCAGTAAGGGTATTTGTGCATATTTCGACCTCTTTCTGTAATAATAGTAGGTTATTATTGTCATTGATAATGTGTGAATTGCTTACTTTTTAGTTACTATACAATATTATACTTTAAATTTCAATTTCAAAATTTTTATGAAAATAAGCAATAATCTTAATCTGGAGGCATGCTGCTTTAATATCATTTGACAATGTAACAGCGCTAGTGCCAGGGGAAAACCACAGGTGCACCTACGTTTATTAATAATATCTGGCTCAAATGGACACAAATAAATGAGTCTGTAATATCATGGATTATTTTTGCTTCATTTTATCTACATTCTAGAAATGTTTAACGTATTCATCATCAATATTATAAAGCAAATCTTTTAATGGCTTAAATAAAATTCGTTCAATACTCCAGCAAACGTAAGGTGACAGACAACGTCTAAAATAATTATGTTCAAAACGATCCGGAAATAATTTTTGAAGATTCCATTTCGCAATATCAGTAGAATTATTGATTAAATAAATGTATTGCTATATAAAAATGAATGATAAAATTCATCCGAATGTGTGCTCTTTTGTGATAGTACTTTTAATTGATGCTACACAGAAACAACTTTCATCTAGCAAAGTGTTTGACTGATAGTAATTGATTTATTATAGTTATCATGAAGTGTCGATTACTGTATACTTTTATCTCCATCATTGAAAACACGATAGAAAGCAAATATTTCAAAGAGAATGTCAATAGTAACACTGTTCTACTCTCTAACACCATAATATACTTTATATTATCTTAAGTGGAAGAAGGAAGGTGCTTTAGGAATTATCCGTGTATATCTTAAATTAAATCTATCAATTAAAGATACGTTCAATACAAACATTACGTTCTCATATGAAGTATTGACAGCTTGAAGAGCTACAGTTCAAATTTCAAAGTTGGAGATTTTATAAGAGTTCATATTTTATATTTTCAATAAATGATTTTAAAAACTATTTAATCTACATTCTGTTGATGCGTCGAAAACAATTAAACCAAAATTATAAATTATTAATGTATACTTTGTTGAACTTAAATCACCAAGAATAAATGTAAGACAAATTGTGTAGTGCTAAAACCTTTAATCTTAAATGACACCTTGCAATGTTGTATCTGAAAGTTCAAAATCGGTTACGTTGCAAAGAGATATTATAGACAGAATTAGGTTTCTGCAGTCAACAAGAAATATCACGGGCTAACACATGAACTACTTAAATGTAGAGACATATGTCGGGGTGTATCAATCACATATTCCAACGTTCAGAATAGCTTTGAATTAACGTCTGGTTTTTGAAATCATTCCGTACACTAAATGATATAATTTAGATTAAAATTGGAGTTTCAATGAAATGTGCGGTGTTTTGTTTGTATTTCATATACACATATCATATCATAAATTTTCCTGGATGTATTGTTGTAAAACTGCCTTACAATAGTACAGATCATTGTCAAACATGAAATTGCATTATCGATATGAAAATGTTTTTGTTTTCGTCATGTTCGATATAACAAATAGGTATGTAATGGTTTAATCTTCCCTAAAGTACCCAAATATATATTTATCAATGAAGCAGAAACTTACAAAATTAGATAACATCTACAATCGCTGTTTCCTTACTTGTGACTAGAACATAGCTAAATATGTGGATCTCGAGTCAGCAATTTTAATGTAATTTTGTTGTGATTAATGCTTCTAATAGATCATACTTTATCCAGATTTTCAAAGTGCACAGTGACCTCTTCTCTGTTATTAACTTTATGATACCAAATATCATTTGTTCCGCGTCAAACTATAAGGATTTTTAGATCACTTTCTTTTGCAAATCGCAATGTCATATTGCTCCAGATTTCGTAACACTAACTGTGCGGTAATGCTGATCATACGTTATTGAGCCCACACAAAAAGTTATAATAATGCACTTAGACAAAAGCAAGTTTCGAGACTTTTTAGGCGTATTTTCTTCAAAAAAATGTTATCCTTTAGTTATCATTATAAAGATAATTATAATTCTGATGTTTTGATTTTTACATTAAGTAAACACTTGTAAATACCTTGTGAACACCTAAATAAATGGAGCTTATTTCACTGCTTCATGATATAACATTTATAGATCAGTTTAAATTTTCACAAATTAAAAAGAATGTGATGCTGATGTCTTGAACTTCTGTCAAAATAATATTTACAATCATATCGTTATTCGTATATATTTATATGTTTCTTCATTTTTAAACTTTGAAATAACGTTTCCCCTTTCTCCAGATCTTTTTACGTAATAAAATGGATAACATTATATAGGCATTTGTTTAAATACTATTATTTAATGATGTGTGGCGGATTAAAACATTTTTCTGCTTTTCTTCATC